TACCATACTCAGATAAACTAGGGGCCCCACAATTCTAACAAAGATGGTCAAAAAAAAATTTTAAAATACAATAGTTCAAAGAAAAGGTAATTACATTTTACAGTGCAGTATATGAAAATAACCTACACCAGAAAATTTTAAACTGTAATACATAACCATAGAATTCTGGAGCAAGTTTAAACTATGGAATTCAATGGATTTATTATGATCAAATTAAGCATTAAACCTCTGCAGGTCAGATTCCATGGAATGTCATGAGAGACTGAAGAGGTATAAAATATCAACTATCAGCAGCGCCCCACATGTCACCGACACATATGTTGCTAACATGGCTACATGTTGACAGGTACGCTGCCAACACTGGCACAAACATTGCCACCACCCCCTTCCCGACGTGACACTGGCACTGACATTCCACCACCAACTGACACTGGCACAGACATGCCCCCTGACTGACACTGGCACAGACATACCCCCTGACTGACACTGGCACAGACATGTCCCCTGACTGACACTGGCACAGACATGCCCCCTGACTGACACTGGCACAGACATGCCCCCTGACTGACACTGGCACAGACATGCCCGCCAACTGACACTGGCACAGACATGTCCCGCCACTAACACTGGCACAGACATGGCCCCCCACTGACACTGGCACAGACATGCCCCCCAACTGACACTGGCACAGACATGCCCCCTGACTGACACTGGCACAGACATGCACCCAGAACTGACACTGGAACAGACATGCCCCCCAACTGACACTGGCATAGACATGCCCCGACTGACACTGGCACAGACATGCCCCCCTGACTGACACTGGCACAGACATGCCCCCTGACTGACACTGGCACAGACATGCCCCTCAACTGACACTGACACAGACATGCCCCCTGACTGACACTAGCACAGACATGCCCCCTGACTGACACTGGCACAGACATGCACCCAACTGACACTAGCACAGACATGCCCCCTGACTGACACTGGCATAGACATGCCCCAACTGACACTAGCACAGACATGGCCCCCCCCCGACTGACACTGGCACAGACATGCCCCGAACTGACACTGGCACAGACATGCCTCCACAACTGACACTGGCACAGACATGCACCCGACTGACACTAGCACAGACATGCGCCAACTGACACTGGCACAGACATGCCCCTCAACTGACACTGGCACAGACATGCCCCCACTGACACTGCACAGACATGCCCCCAGAACTGACACTAGCACAGACATCCCCCCCAGACTGACACTGGCAGACATGCCCCCAACTGGCACTGGCAAGCCCACAACTGGCACACAAATGCGTGCTAAAGGAATAACAGAAAAGTCGGTCGATGGATCTATAATTTCCTCACTAAACAGAACACAGAGAGTAGTCGTCAACAGAGTAAAGTCCGAGGCAGCTACGGTGGAAAAGCTCTGTTCCACAAGGCACAGTACTCGCTCCCATCTTGTTCCTCATCCTCATATCCGACATAGACAAAGGATGTCAGCCACAGCACCTTGTCTTCCTTTGCAGATGACACCCGAATCTGCATGACAGTGTCTTCCATTGCAGACACTGCAAAGCTCCAGGCGGACATCAACCAAATCTTTCAGTGGGCTGCAGAAAAAAATATGAAGTTCAACGATGAGAAATTTCAATTACTCAGATATGGTAAACATGAGGAAATTAAATCTTCATCAGAGTACAAAACAAATTCTGGCCACAAATAGAGCGAAACACCAACGTCAAAGACCTGGGAGTGATCATGTCGGAGGATCTCACCTTCAAGGACCATAACATTGTATCAATCGCATCGGCTAGAAAAATGACAGGATGGATAATGAGAACCTTCAAAACTAGGGAGGCCAAGCCCATGATGACACTCTTCAGGTCACTTGTTCTATCTAGGCTGGAATATTGCTGCACACTAACAGCACCTTTCAAGGCAGGTGAAATTGCCGACCTAGAAAATGTACAGAGAACTTTCACGGCGCGCATAACGGAGATAAAACACCTCAATTATTGGGAGCGCTTGAGGTTCCTAAACCTGTATTCCCTGGAACGCAGGAGGGAGAGATACATGATTATATACACCTGGAAAATCCTAGAGGGACTAGTACCGAACTTGCACACGAAAATCACTCACTACGAAAGCAAAAGACTTGGCAGACGATGCACCATCCCCCAATGAAAAGCAGGGTGTCACTAGCAAGTTAGAGACCATACAATAAGTGTCAGGGGCCCGAGACTGTTCAACTGCCTCCCAGCACACATAAGGGGGATTACCAACAGACCCCCGGCAGTCTTCAAGCTGGCACTGGACAAGCACCTAAAGTCAGTTCCTGATCAGCCGGGCTGTGGCTCGTACGTTGGTTTGCGTGCAGCCAGCAGCAACAGCCTGGTTGATCAGGCTCTGATCCACCAGGAGGCCTGGTCACAGACCGGGCCGCGGGGGCGTTGACCCCCGGAACTCTCTCCAGGTAAACTCCAGGCAAACCCCCAACTGACACTGGCACAGACATGCCCCCCGACGACACTGGCACAACATGCCCCCAGAACTGCCACTGGCACAGGCATGCCCCCAGAACTGCCACCGACACAGACATGCCCCCAGAGCTTCCACTGGCACAGACATCCCCCCGACTGACAATGGACAGACATCCCCCACGGACTGGGACACTGTCACTGGACATGCCCCCAAAATGCCACTGGTGCAGACATGCCCAGAACTGCCACCGACACAGACCATGCCCCCGAGCTGCACTGGGCATAGACATGCCCAGATCTGACACTGGCACAGACATGTGCCCCAGATCTGACACTGGCACAGACATTGACCCAGATCTGACACTGGCAAGTCAGGCCCCCAGATTGTCAGGGCACAGACATGCCCCAGATCTTGACACTGGCACGACATGCCACAGAACTGACACTGGCACATGACATGCCCCAGGAACTGGACAATGGCCAGTCATGCTGCCATCACCTTTTCTCCGCGTTATTCTAGTATTTCTACACCTCACTCTAGTTACAAATCTGTGGACAGGTGAGAGTGGTGGCAAGTCATGGTGAGAGGATGAATGGGTGCTGCAAAAACTTGTATGGGGGGGAAGAGTGGGACTAAATAAGGAATGTCTCTCACGCGGTGACCAGACGACGCGCACACCACACAACAGATAAAAAAAAATCTGTAATTCCTATTGCAGTTTTATACCAATTATAAATATTACTTTAACTATGGGACGTTTAACTAGGGTAAGTAGTGAGTTACCGTGTCACAGACTTTGGCACCATTTTGAAGGTAGCATGGACGTGGGACAGGCGCGACGTGCTCACACTCGGGCAACTGTGACTCAAGTGAGGTGGAAACTGGTGTGTCCGCCTCACAACCAGCTGCTACTACACCGCCTCATTCAAATCTAGGATTGCCATGTAGGTTTTATGAGAGGTATACACAAATACAGTTATATAGATTATCATACATAGCAGCATATGTGTAAAAGTACCTAGAATAACCCAAAAAAGTCAGACAGGCTGACTTATTCTATTGGGGTACTTGTAATATTACTTATATACTCTATAATGAAGTAATATCTTAATATTTTACTATAAAGGAGTTATATCTCTACTATTATACTTTAATACAGAGGCATACTAGTGGCCATCTTTGTAATAAGTACTTTATTTTATAATTATCTTATAATATGTAAATCACACATTGTAATCTATACAGAGAAATAAACATTTGAATTTGAATGTTATTATTATATTATAAAGGAGATAATATCTTATTATCATACTGTAAAGGAAATATATTAGGTAGTAGGAAGGAAGGGAAAAAGGAGAGAGGAGAAGAGAATGAAGGGAGGGAAACGATGAAAGGGAGGGGGAAGGGAGTGCCAGGAGGGAGGAAGGGAAGAAGGTGGGCCTGGTGGCTAAAGCTCCCGCTTCACACACGGAGGGCCCGGGTTCGATTCCCGGCGGGTGGAAACATTCGACACGTTTCCTTACACCTGTTGTCCTGGTCACCTAGCAGCAATAGGTACCTGGGTGTTGTCGACTGGTGTGGGGTCGCATCCTGGGGGGACAAGATTAAGGTCCCCAATGGAATAAGATGTATCGCGTTAGACAGTCCTCGATGTAGCACTGACTTTTCTTGGGTTATTGGGTGGCTTACCCTCCGGGTTAAAATCCAAACGAAATTTTTATCTATCTTTTATTGCAAGGGAAGGCCCCTATCACGAGCCTTTTCCATCCGATGGTGGGGAGCATGGACATGGGGGTCGTCCTAAGTTACTTAAAAACAAACAGTCATAGCCCCACTCCACAAAGGGGGCAGTAAAGCAACAGCAAAGAACTAAAGACCAATTGCTCTAACACATTATCATAAAAATCTTGAAAAGGGTCCTAAGAAGCAAGATCACCACCCATCTAGAAACCCACCAGTTACACAACCCAGGGCAAAAATGGGTTTAGTAAGGTCGCTCTCTGTCTGTCTCATCTACTGGATCACACGACAAGGTCCTAAATGCACTAGAAGACAAAAAGGAATGCAGATGTAATATTTAACAGACTTTGGCAAAAGCCTTCGACAAGTGTGACCATGGCGTAATTGCGCACAAAATGCGCGCTAAAGGATAAACAGGGTATAAAGTCGGTCGATGGATCTATAATTCTCACTAACAGAACCACAGTAGAGTAGTCGCAACAGAGAAAGTCCGAGGCAGCTACGGTGTAAAGCTCTGTTCCACAAGGCACAGTTTCTAGCTCCCATTCTTGTTCCTCATCCTCATGTCGAATAGACAAGGATGTCAGCCACAGCACCGTGTCTTCCTTTGCAGATGACCCCGAATCTGCTGACTAAGTGTCTTCCATTGCAGGAACACGGCAAGGCTCCAGGCGGACTTTACCAATCTTTCAGTGGGCTGCAGAAAAACAATATGAAGTTCAACGATGAGATATTTCATTTACTCAGCGATTTGGTTAAACATGAGGAAATTAAATCTTCATCAGAGTACAAAAACAATTCTGGCACAAAATAGAGCGAAACACCAATCGTCAATGACCTGGGAGGGTTTATGTCGGAGATCTCACCTTCAAGGACCATAACATGGTATCAATCGGCATGCTGCTAGAAAAATGACAGAGTGGATAATGAGAACCTTCAAAAATAGGGAGGCCAAAGCCCATGATGACATTTCAGGTGCACTTGTTCTTTCTAGCGCTGGATTATTGCGCACTCTAACTGCACCTTTCAAGGCAGGTGTGATGAAATTGCCGACCTAGGACAATGTACAGAGAACTTTCTCGGCGGCGCATAACGGGATTAATCACCTAAATTTCTGGAGCGCTTGAGGTTTCTAAAACTTGTATTTCCTGGAAACGCAGGAGGGAGAGATACATGTTTATATACACTGGAAAATCCTAGAGGGACTAGTACGAAACTTGCAACGAAAATCACTCACTACGAAAGCTTAAGACTTGGCAGTACGTATGCGCACCATTCCCCCCAATGAAAAAGCAGGGTGTCACTAGCACGTTAAGAGACCATACAATAAGTGTCCAGGGGCCCGAGAATGTTCAACTGCCTCCCAGCACACATAAGGGGATTACCAACAGACCCTCGGCAGTCTTCAAGCGGGAACTGGACAAGCACCTAAAGTCAGTCCTGATCAGCCGGGCTGTGGCACCTCGTACGTTGGTTTGCGTGCAGCCTAGCGCAAACCCAGCCTGGTTGATCAGGCGCTTGATCCACCAGGGACGCTGGTCACCAGACCGGCCGCGGGGGCATTGGGAACCCCGAAAACTCTCTCACAGGTAAACTCTCCAGGTAAGGAAAGAAGAGGGAAATAGGACGTTGGGAAGGAGGAGGTTTCATTCATTTTAATTCTGGTTCATTGCACAAATTAGATTTTTTCAATCTCTTTTATAACAATATTACAAATTTACCTCGGTTGCGCAATAAAATATAAATCCCATGACTTCTTATTGATGATACACAGAAGATATTGGCAACACATATTATACAGTATTTATTTAGATGTATCTAGGATACTAAAAGTAAGATAATAAAGTAAGATTTATATAGGGTAACTCTGCTCTCATCCTATTTAACTTGTATGCTCCTGCTGATAAGTTTAATTACTTGGTGCTCACAAACTTGTGCTAATTCTAAAAACTACTCATTATTGGCGATTATAATGCAAGTCACAAAACACTTGGAAATCACAATTTGGTAGTCGTAAGGGTAATTAAATGTTGTGGGCCGGTGGCCTGGGGCTTAAAGCTCCCGCTTCACAAACGGAGGGCCAGGGTTCGATTCCCGCGCGGCGTGGAAAAATTTCGACACGTTTCCTTACAACTATGGTCCTGTTCACTAGCAGCAATTAGGTACCTGCGGTGTTAGTAGATGGGTGGGTCGCATCCTGGGGGACAAGAATTATGGACCCACAATTGGAAATAAGTAGACAGTCCTCGATGACGGCACTGACTTTCTTTGGGTTATCCCTTGGGTAGCTTAACCCTCGGGGTTAAAATCGAACGAAATCTTAAGCAGTCATGATAATGCGCAAATGGTAGGTGTCCTTGAACCCACACATATCTATGTAGGAGGCGTCCTTGATCTGTCTTGGCTTAACATTACTTCTGCCAGTGTGAGTCTTCCATTGTAACAGACATAGGTCTGACCATTTCCCTAGGTAAACCTCACTAGTTATTGGTAATAATTCTTCCTGTGGGAGATTCAGCGGAAACGTTTTAATGTTCCCCCCTGTCTGCATGATGTCTTTTACTGAACATGTGATATGACTGGTTTAATTCTATGAGTGTTCCTCTGTTGAGACCTTTTAACATGGACCTTGTGAGCTGTATTCAGAAACTATTAGAAACGCCACTGAAACCTCATTGGCTAATGTAAACCATCTAACTTCCATTATAATCAATACCCTTATAAAAAAATAACCATACACTACTTACATCTGATTCTAAAACTTCGTACATGAAACGTATGCTCGCAGATAGCCTAACTAAGATCCATCGTACCCCTGATTGCTGAAGCTCTTCACAAAAATGTCCTTGCTGCTGCCAGAGAGCGTGTCAGAAACTGTGGCAAACAGACTAGGAACAATTTGTAAATGGTTCTCAATGCTCACACCCCACTTAGCCGGGCATGGAGGGAATAAATAGAAATAAGGGTAACAGATCTGGGGCATATCTGCGCACCCTTACAGACCTTACATAGGGCGAATGAGTTAGTGCTTGGGTTGCTAGCATTAGTATGACATCTTCCCAGTACCACACATGGAAATATTAAGAATGACATATATGATGCAAGGGAGTGACTTGTTTGTTTTATGCTCAGAAGGCAGATGGACTGCATAACCATTCCATCCACTATGGAAATAAGTCTCTCGTCTGACTTTTTTGAGTTTCCTTGTTCTCTTACATATGCTGCCCTTATGTATGATTAATTCTACTGTTATATTTGTGTATTACCTGGAATAAACTTACTTATGACTTGATGCTGCACTAACTAGGGCAACTCCCCGTGACCTGGTGAGGATGGTATTACTTACAAACATACTTCAGATTGCTGGGTCGAGTACCAGGTAATCCATACTTGAAATTTATTGCATGAACCTATGTAACCGTGGATGCGTCCATCAATCTTGGACATCAGCCTCATCATACCATTCTAAGCCAATATACAAAACTGCATTTTCGCCCAATATCTCTTATTGCTGCTTGTGTAAACATTTGAGAGAATGGTTCTTGTTAGGTAAGACACATAAGCAACTGTTAGATATTTGTTTCGAATCGTTTCGCCTACACCAGTAGGCTTATTCTGTCGAGTACAGGCCAAAGTTGATGAAATTAAGGAAACACATGGCAACATCTGGGTATCTTCATTTGTAGACGTTTCGCCATCAGTGGCTTTATCAATACAAATTCTAGGACATAACTTGATGGCACAGTAGAAATATGTACAAAAGATGAGGTAATCAGTCCCTCAACCTCGGAGTAGGTGCGTAGTGCAACCCATAGCTC